TTTCGAGTATTAATTATGTTGAACTTTAAAGTTATGGAACGACCATTATTTATATGGGTGTGACATGTTGTCACCATTATTCACTTATAAATTTTAAACGAGACGTTTTGGTCGCAAAACATTATTTACGTTGCGAACTATTTAGTTTAGTTATTTTGGTAGAATATTTATTATTCAAGAAAATGTAAAGTATATTGCTTATTTTATAAAATGAACGAGCAACAATTAATATTTAACGACGTCACATTATTAATAATATTTTAAGAAAATATTAGAGTGAAACATGAGATATGATGTTATCGGGGTTGATCAATAAAAGGAAAAGTYGTGTTAAGATTGTTAAGGAATAGTAATCAATTTAATTACGATTATTTAADATGCTTAGGAATGGTATAAATTATCATGTAGGTTGCCGTTTTTGAGAGAACGACCTATCGAACGTTAACGATTCAAGGTGAGTACATTATGCGATTTTTATGGGATATATACATGATTATTATAAAAGTATTTTATCCATGATATATGCATGATATGCATATGATGATAACTTGATTATATTGATGTACATGATATTTAAATATATGCATGATATGAAAGGTGATGTTGATGAGAAAGATTATGATGACTTGACATATGTGATTTATGTTGTCACTTGCATGAGATACACGTTGCATGTCACGATGAGATTTGCATTAATGAGTGAGTATTGCAAATAAATGATATGCAACTAGTATGATTCGGCAAGATTCGTCCACCGTACGGGGTGGGTTGGACATGAAAGGAGGGCTTGCAATTTCGAGGTCTTGGAGTCCTCGTCCATAGAATACGCCACATACGCAAAGAAAAGTGACAAGCCGAGGCCTCACTTGCAATATAATAATTAAAATACGCTAAAACGCTGTTTTGTGTGTGCATATGATCATGAAACCATATTGTATTCACTAAGCTTTTTGCTTATACTATACATGTATATATCTCAGGTGTCATTTGTCAGTAGACGAGTGAATGAAGAAATACGGGACTATGTTTTTGAATCATGCTTGATTAGATATTTTAATTAACATTGATTATGTTAAAGTATTTTACGCTTCCGCAATTATGTAACGAATTATGTTAAACATATTATGTGTGTTTGGAATTTTAAGTTCGTATTTTTGTTCATGACATAAGTTATTAAGAATGATGTCACGGTACTCGAAAGAAAAAAAAAATCGGGGCGTGACAACCTTTTCATTCTGTTACTCCATTTTAATATATATACCTTGTACAACCAAATTTGCATAAAGTACAAACAATATAGCGTATAAAACCAAGGCAACGAAATCAGAACCTCTTTGTGGCTCTGATCTTGTTCATCCCATTACATGCTTTTTCATGTAAATTTATCCAAGAAAACGAAATTAAACACAATAAATAAATCAATCAATCAATCTTCCTTCTCCTGCATTTTTCGATACCAAATCCAAGCTCATGAAATTTTCGTCAGATGTTGACATATCTCTAGTAATTCACTAGACACGAACCCTTTAGAATTCAAATATGGCAACCACAACACACGTAGTATACACAAAGCTCGGACACCAAAACAACCGCTTCAAGAACCGAAATGATCTTGAAAAGAATCCCATCGACCAACCATAGTTGTAAGTTGAACTTCGTCTTTCGAGGAAACCTGACGATGCCCAACTTCCTCCATACCCCCTTGTTCTTCCCTTGTAGCCTCTTGAAGAAGAATGAGAAGTCCGTATTTTTCTCGTCCATTTCTCGAGGTTTTATGTTTGCTATAAGTTTCGGGTTTAAGGTTTAGAGTTGGGTTTCTTGCAAAGTTGCAGAAGCAAAGGAAGGTATTTATATTGGATTTATGTTTGTTGTGTTGTCATGACAATGACTGAAAGATGCCATTTTTAAGAGACGTTGGATTGGGAAGGACTTTTCATTTTCCTCCCCTTGAATTTTGTCAAGTTTCAATTACGGTACCCTATTATTATTTATACTATTAAATTAAGTTTTGTTGTGACATCTTCAACAATAATAGATATGGGAAGAGGTTGAATTGGAAATTTACGTTGAAGCCGCAATACCAAAATAGTTGATTTCCAGCATGAGATTTCATTTTTTTAATTTCATTTTGCTTAAATTACCATGAAATTTTTTTTTTTTTTTTTTGCATAAACTCCTTTTTCGCTAAAAAATTAAAAAACAAAGTTGACGCAGAAAGTAAAATGTAGCTTTCTGCGTAAACTCTCCGCATGGAAAAAAAAAAGTTTTTCTGCATAAATTTTGGCTATTTAGGGATATGAGCTTGAGAAGTCGTCAAAAAGTGAATTTGATTTTATTATTTATGTAAAAATTAACAAAACAATTACTAATTAATCCATATATTCCTAAAAAGCTAACATTTAACAAGCTATATAAATACAGTTGAAATTCAAATATTTAGGTGACATTTCCTTTTTAAGAGGTGTTGAAGGCTAAAGTCTGGTTTTACTTTTGATTTAAAGAGGTAGTGTTAAAATCTGGTTTCACTTCTGATTTAAAGAGATGGTGCTGAAGTCTGAAATCTGGATCAGTAAGACTGTTTGTTTTAACGTCTGAAGTCTGAAATCTGAATCGATCAAAGTAGTGTAAAAATATAAAAGATAAATAGTTTTTTACAAAATATAAAGAATAAATAGTTTTTGCTAACAAATCACTTCCAGTTCCAAAAATACGAACCATTTGTTAGAAGGAGGATTAGGATTAAAATGTATTAAACGATATGTTTACCACTTAAAATTTTAGAAAAAATTTAGAGTTTTTAAGCTATTATTTAAAAAAAAACACTCTTAATACCCAAATGTCTAAATGAATCAGACTTTAAAGGTATTAAAAGATAATTTTGAAAAAACAAACATGTCCTTAATGTATAGTTGTAATCTTAAGATCTAATGGGCATGAATTGTCATTTTATTGAACATGGAGGGTTGTTAATGAAATTTATAAAAAAGTTAGTTTCATAGTTCCGCGTTCATGGCGTCCGATGATTTATGTTCGTGGCAGCGTGGACGTGTTGGCTTGGTTGTTGTGGGCCACCTTTGTTTTCTCTTTCTTTACACAAATTCATGTTAGCTTTGAAATTAATATATATATTTTTTTAATAAAAATAAGTTAAATTTATAAATTCGTATATAATTTTTATTAATAAAAATATATTATTTAGTTTATTTTATATGTA